CTAGCAACCATCTCTAAGTCTAGCTCTAGGGGATCTCATGTCCTTTTCTGGACTCTGTGGGCACCAGCCGCAGGGTGCACAGACATACATGCAAGCAAAATACCCCCAAACAGGGCTGGAGAGATGGCTCAGCGGTTGGGAGCATTTCCTGCTCTTCCAAGGGTCCTGGGTTCAATTCCCAGCAACCACATGGTGGCTCACAACCATCTGTAATGAGGTCTGGTGCCCTCTTCTGGCCTGCAGACATATATAGAGGCAGAATGTTGTATACATAATAAATAAATAAATATTAAAAATAATAACATTAAAATACCCCCAAACATAAAACTTAAAAACAATAACCAGGGCTGGAGACATGGCTCAGAGGTTAAGAGCGGTGGCTGCCTTTCCAGAGGTCCTGAGTTCAATTCCTAGCAACCACATGGTGGTTCACAATCATCTATAGTGGGATCTGGTGCCCTCTTTTGGCCTGCAGGCAAAACACTGTATACATTAAAAAAAAAACAAACCCAAAGAACCAATTCTCTCTCTCTCTCTCTCTCTCTCACACACACACACACACACACACACACACACACACCACACTGTTATTCTAGGATGGTGGACAAAGAAGCCCTAAGGTAAAGTGGACGAGGTGGTGGAAGGGGGAAGGAGCATGAGCCAGAGGCTGGGTGACGTCAGCCCATGAATTTGCAGTGGTAGTCACGTCATGTACGAGACCTGAGCAAATCCCAGCATGGAGGGGGAAGGAGGGTGTGACGTCAAGGAACCACTGGCAACTGAAAGCTGCTGAGAAAGGAGCATGAGTAGCCCTGGCAAGGGACCCATGCTCCAATAGGAGGCCACAAGTCCCAGAATATACTGGTAGCACGAGCTGAACTTGATGGATTTTTGTTTTGGTTTTGTTTCAAAAAGGACACAAAGTTGAGTGGGTAGGGAAGTGGGGAGGATCTGGGAGGAGCTCGGGGAGGAAGTCAATATGTTCAAAACACATTGTACAAAATTCTCAGAAAACTAATTAAAAAAAAAACTCTGAGGATCTGGAGAGATGGCTCGGTGATAAAGAGCACTCGTTGCTCTCTCAGAGGACTCTGATTCAACTCACAGCACGTGGTGGCATAAAACCAGACATAGAGCCGGGCAGTGGTGGCGCACGCCTTTAATCCCAGCATTAAAGGCAGAGGCAGAGGCAGGCGGATCTCTGTGAGTTCGAGGCCAACCTGGTCTACAAGAGCTAGTTCCAGGACAGGCTCCAAAGCTACAGAGAAATCTTGTCTCGAAAAAAACAAAAACAAAACAAAACAAACAAACAAAAAAACCAGACATAGCTCCAGTTCCTGGGGGGGGGGGGGATGTGGGTTCCCTGATGTTCTCTTAAAGCCTTTGTGGGCACTGCATGCGTGTGATCTATATACACAGCCCAAACATTCACACACATTAAAAGATAAATCTTTAAAAGGAAAATGAAGATCCACAGGTGGCTGCTGTCCTCAAAACCCTGACTACCACCTTCTGGTTAAGCCGTCATCACCCATCTTTCCCCCACATCTCTCTTCACTATTAAAATAAAAAACAAGGGGGCTGGAGATATGGCTCAGTGGTTAAGAGCACTGACTGCTCTTCCAGAGGACCCAGGTTCAATTCCCAGCATCCACATGGCAGCTCACAACTGTCTGAAGATCCAGTTGCAGGGATCTGACACATTCACACCAATACACATAAAATAAAAGTTAAATAAACCATAAAAATATTTAAAAATAATAATAAAATAAAATAAAAAACAAGAAATAAAACAACAACAACAAACCCAGCACTTGTTTATGGCAACCGCAAAGACCCTGGATAAAATAAAACACATATAAAATGCAAGGGAGAAAAGGGGCTGGGGGAGCAGCGCTCCGCAGGCATGCAGGCCTAACTCTCCAGGCTCCTGCGGACACACGGTAGCATGTGGATGACTACATTATAGGTGGAGGCACAAGAAATGGGGCCATAAACTGTTTTCCTCCTAAAACTCAGCCACAGCAATGACTCATTTCCTTGTCTGTCAGTTTGTAGTTATTGTAAGAAGCAGAAACCGTGGCAACTTTTCAGGATCGGGCAGACGTCTTACTGCTGACAGAGGAGACTACCAACGATCACATGACCGCACAAACGGAGGCTCACTGTCCCTTCCATCCCAACATTCGAGAGAGACCTGCCCTGGTCAACTGTAGAGGGGAAGGGGGACACTTTGTGGTTGTGTGTGAACAGCAGAGCAGCTGTTGAAGCTGGGAAAGTTCTAGAAGGAAGGCTCCGTGGAGAAGAGCCACTTTTCCTGGTGAGAGCTGGTAAGGCTGAGTCAATCCTGATTATTCACACGATCACCCCCAGCTATGTACCCAGTGAAGGCCTCATGCCGTAATAACCGCAATCGACTAGCTATTACCCAGAGAAGATAAACTGAGTGTGCGGGGGAGCGAGGGGGCACAGACTCAAGACAGAGAGAAATCAATCTGTCTAATTGTCATAATTGCAGCCTCTACCAAACGGCAACTGGAAGTCTCCGCAGTTCAACTCTTTCGACATCCGAGACTATAAAAGTTATGCAATTTAAAATCCAGCTAAAGACAAAAGAGGCCGAGACCAGCCTGGTCTACAAGAGCTAGTTCCAGGACAGGCTCCAAAACCACAGAGAAACCCTGTCTCGAAAAACAAACAAACAAACAAAAAAAAAGAGGCCGAAGACTCCTGAGGTGGACGAAACTCCAAGACAACAGCTGTCAGGGACTGCCCTTCTGAACGGCAGACTTGTGGGCAACCTGGAGAGGCCCCGAGACAGACATCATGGGAGACTAATAAGGTAGTTGTGTTTGGCTTGACACTCTATGGGAGGCATCTAAAAAGGGAACTGGGGCTGAAGAAACAGCTCAGCACTTAAGAACACCTGCTGCTCCTGCAGGGGACTTGAGTTCAGTTCCCAGCACCCACACCGGGCAGCTTATAACCACTGCATCTCCATCTCCACGGCATCGGTGCCCTCTTCTGGGTTTTGCAGGCGTGCCCATAGCCACATACAGATGCGTCATTAGAAATAAAACTTTTAAAAATAACAAATAAAAGGGGAAATAAGCCTGATATTTATAGTCTGAGCCGAGACAGTTGGACCCTGACTCCAGCCACGTGAGGTTACAGTCTCATTTTCACCAGGGTCTACTTAAACCAGGGCAGTCACCAGAACAGTGGGCTTCTCCCCACCCCCTTTGTTTTGTTTTTGATACATGGTTTCTCTGTGTAGCTGTGTCTTGGAACTTGCTCTGTAAACCAGGCTGGCCTCCAACTCACAGAGTTCTGCCTGCCTCTGCCTCCCAAGTGCTGGTTTCAAGGTGTGTGCCCCCACCACCCAGACTGTGGGTTTCTCTAGACACCAGGAGCATGACGGTGAGCAGAACACATTTACAGAGGAAAACTCACATAAGGAGAATAGAGCTCCCCGGTCTCTGTGATTTCACCCGCCATCTCCAAAGAATGAGGAAGGGTTGGCGGAAGAGGCTGCTTCTGTGCAAGGCCAGCAGCTGCTGCGGCTCCTAAAACGAAAGAGTAGACTTTAGTTTTCTGATGGACAGAGATGGGAACGGGGGAGACTTGGGGTCTGCCTCTTTCACCTCCAGCCCTCTGATCTCAGACACTTTGGCCTCAGTGTCTGTCATGGGGCAGCCTTGGTGGGACGCAGCTCCCTGGACAGTGCCTTCTAACTTTACCGTTGCTATGCACGGCACTTTTCTATGCCTGGATGCTGTTCACACTCCAAGTGACTGAGGGGCCTCCGAAGACGCCTCACTCGCTGTCAAAGCCCTCCTTTAACCTAAGGGTTCTTATATCCACTTCATTCCAGTATCTGTGAGCTCACTTCTACACAGGACAGCCAGCACAGCTGTCTGCCTCTCGGCCTACAGCAGACAGTCAGGGTTTTCCTAGGTCGCTCCGCCATCCTAACTCCTTGCCCTAGAGCTTCTTTTAAATGTGGCTTCCCGCTCCCTCACCTGTCTTCCGCTCTACCTTAGGTTCCCCACCCTTAAACCTCCCTCCCTTCTCAAGATCCCGGCTCTGAGTCTCTCCCTCTCCTCCCCTCCAAGTGAGACTCCAAAATCCACACCTATCTCCACCGCATCCTACCCTCCCACTCGTCCCAGACCTGCAGCACAGCTAGCTCCGGGCCACAGTGGCCACCGCCTCCAGTTGTTCAGCTGCCACCCGGCGCCAGCTGTCCCGCACCAGGGCCCGCAGCGCGCATGCGCCTGCGTCCCAGCCCACCTTCCACGAGAGCGCGTCGAGAGGGGTACCCTGTTCTGATTGGACTCCTCGAGGGGGCGTGGCCGGGATTGGGCCCCGCGGCTGCCGTCTGCGTGGCGGAAGTGGAGGGTGCGCGCCCCCGCGCATGCGGAAAGCTTGGCTGTCTGGCAGAGGTGCTGACGCCTGTCGTTGAGGACGCCTTCCTCGGCGGGGGATGGGTGTGAGCTTGGCAATTTGCGGGCCTCGGCGGTTAGAGGGTCAATGAACCACTGTCGTGGCACGCAAAGCGCTGAGGCTTGAGAACTTCGAGTGGGGTGTGGGGGACCAGAAATGGGGGAGGGCCAGAGCCGGGTGGCGTGGACGCTGGAAGGAAGGCTGGAAACAGGCTTAAAGAGGGGGGTTGTCAAGTCGTTTGAGGGTGGACTCCCCGGACTGGGGCACGTCGCGTGTGAATCCTAGTTATTTGGCATTCGGGTTTGATGGATCCAAGTTCTTGGTACTAGAGACCGCAGCCAATGCTTGGCCCCGAGATGAGAACCGAGAATTGTTGGCCGTTTCGGTTCTTTATCTGGCAAGAGTTTTGGAATCTCTGTTCTTTCAAATATTCGTGGGGGAAAGGCAGGACGCCCCTTGTTAAAATAGCCCCACCCGTACAGGAAAAGCCTGAGTTTCCACCCTACGTGGAAAAACACTTGGGGCTCTGAAGTCTTTAACTCTCTCACCTGTAGGCAGCTACAATGAGGCTGAATCAGAACACCGTGCTGCTGGGCAAGAAGGTGGTCCTGGTACCCTACACCTCCGAGCATGTGCCTAGGTAACCCAGCTGGGAGCAGTTGTTGCTGCGTGGTGGGGGCAGTGGGAATCGGCCCAGTGAAAGGCCTTCTTCAGTCCTAATCTCGGAGCCGGTTTTGTCCTAGGGAATATTACTTGTGCGGGGGCTGCACAACACTCGGGAGATAGAGGCAGGTGGATCTCAGTGAGATTGAGGGCAGCCTGGGCTACATAGTAAGTTTTCCAGGTCAGCCAGGGCTTCACAGTGACTGTATCTCCAAAGGGGATAAAATTACATCCAGGAAGAATAATGCTGAAGTGGAGAACTCGCTTCCCGTTTCCCCTTTTCACCTCTCAGCTTCCCTTTTGGCTTTTTAATTAGGAATTGCATCATCTAAATGTATGTAGCAAAGAACAAAGACGTGTCCTCTTCCCTCGTCCTCGGTTACTGATGGCACTTCCATGTGCTTGCTCCAGATGTTGAATGTTGCATGATCTTGATAGCTACTGTTTAAAAGGCCAGAAGTGAGTGGCAGGGACTCCTTGTGGGTGGGGTTCATTAGCGAATGCCTGGTAGATTGAGAACTGACTGTGGAGACGATGCTCCCATCCTCCACCACTAGTTTTGCTTTTGGGGAGGTCCCCGGAGGTCTGCCCAACTGTCTTTGCTGAGGCTGGCTTGGCATATCCTTATCCTCAGGAATTGGAGGAATGTTTGGCTTCACACGGCCTGGGTGGGAAGCTGGGCACAGCTTTCCTGGGTGGAAAGGCTGCTCCTCTCTGCTGCTTGAGGGAAAGACCTGCCTTTTCTGACTGACCACAGCCTTCTCCTTGAGTCTTCTATCAGTGCTGTGGGGCCTTCATCCCTGCCTTCCTCTTCATCTCAGAAAGCGTGAACCCATACTGTGTTCATACTCGTACAATTTGAAATTGTGGTGCCGACACCGGCACTGAATCCTCTCCGCAGACAGAACTTGTGCACTCGTCCTCTTAGAGAGGGTCTCCTGTCACTCATGCTGGCCTCAAAGTCCTGATCCTCTCTCCTCCTCCTCCTCCCAGGTGCTGGGCATCCAGGCCTTTCCCTCCGCACCCAGCGAAATCCATGCTGTTGATCCACCCATCTAAGACCAAGTCTTCCCCCCACTCCCCGCATCCGCAGGTACCATGAGTGGATGAAGTCGGAGGAGCTGCGGCACCTGACAGCCTCGGAGCCGCTGACCCTAGAGCAGGAGTACGCGATGCAGGGCAGCTGGCGCGAAGACGAAGACAGTGAGGAGCGCCCCCCCCCCCCCCCCCAGTCTCCCAGGCAGCCTCCACTTTCCTGTCCTTTCTCACCTCTCAGCTACTGCCCCTCTCAGGGTGTCACTAAACTGTGGTAAAAAGTTTGGAGGTTGCTTATGCTCGAACCACTTGAAGTGGCGCCTGTGACTGGCTGTACTGTCCTCTTTCCTGAGCAGGCACTGTGCTTGGAGGGATTTAGAGAGAATAAAGCAATTTGATTTCTAGCCGTTAATCTAGGCCCTGCCCTCATGCCCTTTGCCATAGCCTGGTGCAGGTCCTACTCTTTGGGTCCCTGTTCCTTTGAGTACAGATGCCTCTTGGGGAAGGCTGTTTCCCCGCTTCAGATCAAAGGTGACCTGGGACTCTACAAGGCGCCGGCCCCTTTTCTCCTGCTCTTCTCTGGCTTGGGTGGGAACACTCTCCTCACCTCTTTCCTTTGAAGACTGCAGGCCCTAACTGTTGCATCCACCCTCAGAGTGCACCTTCATTGTGCTGGATGCAGCAAAGTGGCAGGCCCAGCCTCGCCCCCCGGAAGAGAGCTGCATGGTGGGAGATGTGAACCTCTTCCTCACAGACCTAGAAGACCCCACCTTGGGGGAGATTGAGGTCATGATTGCAGGTTTGTCCTACCGGGTCCAGCCAGAACTTCAGAGAGCTTAGTGGGTGCCCAGGGGTAGCTCAGTCAGCTGTGGCCAGCTAGCTCTTGACTGCGGCAGCTTGATCCCTTGTCCCCCACCCAGCATGACAACTGACCCTTGGGTTCATATTTTCTTCCATATCCCTTGGTATGACTTTAACCTGTGTGTACACACATGCGTCCCAGAGGACAGTCTTGGATTTTGTTTCTCAATGCCATCTTTTTAGGTTTTATTTGTGTTGTGTGTGTGTGCATGTGTGTGTGTGTGCGTGCGTGCGTGCGTGTGTGTTTGAGACAGGGTTTCTCTTCAGCCTGGAACTTGCCAAGTAGGCTGGACTGGTTGGCTGTCCCCAGTACTGGCTTCAAAATGCATGCCACCACACCTGGCTTTTTAACACGGAGTCTGGGAATCAAACTCTGGTCTTCCTTGCAAACACTTTACTATTGCGCTGTCTACCCCCCACCCCCCGGCCTTCACCCTTGAGTTTCTAGGCTTCAGACTCCATCTGTTCCATGCTTAGGCTTAGAAGGGGATCCTCCAAAAAGTAGCAGATGCTCTGCCGTGCTGTGGAGGAGCCCCTTCTGCTTCTCCCAAGAGCTCCCCGGCGAAGGGGGCAGGGGGTTCAGACTGCTGGGAGCCTCATGCCTTCTTTCACCTGCCTGTACCTTTCTTTTCCGTGGGTAGACTAGTGAGCCCAGTGCCTGTCAGGGATATTGGAGCCTGGTCCCTGGTCCTAGCATGGTGTGCTTTCTCCTAGAGCCCAGCTGCAGAGGCCAGGGCCTTGGCACCGAGGCATCTCTCCTGATGATGTCCTATGGTAAGACAGACAGAGCTGACCACGAAGTAGGCCTCAGCTGAGCCTTCTTCAGGCACGAGGGAGGAGGCAGATGGCAGGCACCTCTACTGCAGGCGGGGACAGGGAGACTAGTGGAGTGGAGGTTTTATTCTACTGTGTGCCCCTCTCTCTCTCTCTCTGATAACTCTGGAGGTGTGACGAAGCTAGGTCTCACCAAGTTTGAGGCCAAAATTGGGCAAGAAAATGAGCCTAGCATCCGGATGTTCCAGAAGCTTCATTTTAAGCAGGTAAGCCCATCCAGGGGAGAGGCCTAGGGAGCTAGAGCTGTTGGCGAAGGGACACGGCTGTAACGCTAGGTCTGCTCTCCTGGCTCCTATAGGTGGCCATGAGCAGTGTCTTCCAGGAGGTGACGCTCAGACTGGCAGTGAGCGAGGCAGAGCGGCTGTGGCTTCTGGAGCAGACGAGCCACATGGAGGAGAAGCCCTACAGAGCTGGGTTGGCAGAGCCCACGACCGCCACCCCGTGTGAGCAGAACTGGAACTGTCCACTCCCAAGGCCAGACAGCTGCATGGGAGACCAATGCCCAGGGTCTCCAGTCTGCTCCAGGCCCTCCTGAGCCTGCCGTGGCCTCCGCTGGCTGGCAGTGGCCAAGAAGACTCCTTCCTACTCCCAACCACGAGCTGACTGTGGTTGCACTGAACAGATGGCTGGCATCCATCGAGGCTGAGGTGGAGGTGGGAGCTGGAGGCTGGAAAGCCAGCCTTTCCCTGGGGCCCTTGCTGAGTAAAACATGCGTTTAGGCAGCTTCCCTCGGCCCTTCATTCATCGTCCTCATGGAGAAGGCTGTCCTCTGAAGGCCAGAGTGACCAAGTAGTGGACTCGATGGTGGAAAGATAGGCTGGCTTCTGCCTGGTGGCCCTGGTTCTGCTTTCAGCTTTTTGAAGTCAGACAGGTCTGAGGGAAGAATGACTTCCGCATGCAGCTCCTTGTATCTGAGGAGCATCCCTGTCAGAGAAGCTTGGGGCCTGCTACAGGTCTACAGGTGAGAGAACCTGAAGCTACCCACAGACCCCTCCTGCAGCGTCGGGCTCTTCCCTTTCCCATCTTGTTCATTGCCCTCTTTTGGGCAGTTGCATCCAATCTGGCCACTAGGGGGCAGCAGAGGCATAGATTCGGGACAGCCAGGGTACTGGCAAAGTTCTCTAGTGTGCTGGATGGTGTTGTGTTGCGCCCCCACCCCAACCCTTTTACTCCTAACCGTCCCCGTCCCCGTAGCCTGCCGTTATCTGAGGTAGTCATCAAGAAGGGCCAGGCATATTTTCAAAACAGCTCTGACAGGTTAGAAGTGCATTTGTGTGAGCGATGGCTCTGGTTAAAGTTATTGCCAAGACCTCCCAGCCCCCTGGTCTTGGCGTCTTACCCCAGATTGCACAGGGAAAAACTGCAATCCAGAATGCCTGAATTTGAAGTGAAATTTGCTATTGGCTCCCTTTGGACTCTGCTCCAGACCTTGGCTCAGAGCTAAAGGTCCCCCACAGCTTCTCCACCCAGCAGGTGAGGTAGGGAGGTTGCTTCCAAGCCCTGTTACACCAGCCGGGGGACCTCCACCTGGGGCCAAAGGGTAGAAGCGTGGGTGGATGAGGGAGGCCAAGCCCAGCTGAGCAGGCAATTATAGGTACTGTGATAAGTGCTTTGGATGGTTTCTCTCAAGGCTGGTGGAATCCAGACGTTAATGCCAAGAGGGCCAGATAGTGAATGGCCCTTCTCCCAACGCAGAGGGCTCCAGGCCTTCTCTCCTGGAGCTATTATTTTCTTTACTTGTTCCTTTCAGCCCAGCAACCTGGTTCTGAGTGGCCTTTCTGTAAACTAGGTGAGTGGGAAGTAGCTGGGGCCACAGTCCCCTTCATTTTTGAACACCTGACCTAGGACATGGTCCAGTAGGGAGCCTGGGCATTCAGGGCCTCCTGGCAGAAAGGCGGTATATTCCCTTTGCAAAGTCCCTTCCATCCCGAACCTTGCCACACAATGTGTGCTGCAGCTAAGTGGACTAGTTTTCTCCTGTGCTGGATATCTGCTTTCCCATCAGGCCACTGGGCAGATAAGGGGTGTCTGTGGCAGGCTTAGACTGCTGAAAATCCTGCACTCCTTGGGGTGGGGGTAACAGGGAGGAAAGGCATCGTCAAGTCCTGAACCCCCTCTCTGTAGTGAGGTTTCACTTGTAGCACTTCTGGACCGAGGAGCCTCAGGGCCCTCTCAGCTTCCTCTGCCACAGTCCCCATAATCACCCCCCCCATTGTCCCATGTACCAGGGTACACTGGCATGGAGCTAAGCACAAAACTGGAGGGCCCTGTGGACTCTTGAGTAGCTACAAAGCCACTCCAGGAGTGTCCCACCTCCCAGCCAGAGGCCAGCTCCCTGGGACTCTGGTCTTTGTCCACTCTTAGACCTGAGGGTGTGAGGCGAAGCACCAAAGACGACTCGGAGGCTCAGGTGGTTTAAAGGAACCAGTGAATTTCTGAAGGTGTTTCCTTACAGTGGTGGCACCTGGCTCAGGACAGGCAGAGGCAGCCTGGGTTTCCCTGTGCTGCCCAGGTCTTTCAGAGTGAGAGTAGAAACAAAAGTTTAAGGGTGAAGCCATTGCCATGCTCTGGGTACAAACAACCGGGAAAATCACAAGAATCATGAAAACAAGAACCCCTCTAAATTCTGCAATGCTACACTCTTAAAAAAAAAATCAAATGGATCAAAGAAGCCCAAGCCATAGCTCTGAGGACCTCAGGCACCCTGTCCATTATAAGCAATGGCCGCTACAGTCAGTCCCCAGTGAGCCCTGGACTTGTCATCACATGTAGTTGAGGGAGAACTTCTTGTCTGGTCCAAAGATCCTTGCTTGGTGTGGGTCCCAGTGATGTCCTAGGCAGATCGGTGAGGGGACACTTGGTAGGATGAAGCCCTCAGGGATAAGTATGGGGACGGGACATAAACATTCTCCTTCCCTAAGGTGAGAGGGAAGGACAGAATTCCTAAGAAAATCAGATTTGTCAAGAAGGGGTCGGGGTGCTGATGCTGATTTGAATGTTGATTGGTGGGTGACTGGGGAGGAGGGGAGGCTAGGTCAGGTGGGTGGGTGGCTCCACCGTCCAGCACTGGCCAGCGACTGGTCGGGTGCTCAGAGGTTGCTGAACAGTTCATTTTTCTTGCTCCAGTCCATCTGTGGGGCCCGCTTGCTACTGCGCTTCTGGTGGGCCCTCTCTTTGGCCACAGCCAGGGAGATGTTGAAGTCCAAGATGGGGTCGTAGGAGGAGGAGGTAGATGAGGGCTCTGTGGACGCCTGTCTCTTGGGGCTGTCTTGGGAATTTAGCTGTGAAGAGGAGGAGAGAGTCAGTGTCCATCCCCGAGGGCTCCTCAGTCCTTGGCCTCAGAGAGGTGGAGATCCCTTGGGGCCATGACCAAGGTAGCCAGGTCACTCACAAGAACAAACTGCACCTCCCCATGTGACCTCTAAGGCAGGCTGGTGTGCCAGGAACCAGAGCGGCCTGGAAATGGCATCCCGTAAGGAACTCAGTCACTAGCCCCCATGGGGCCTGCCTACCTCCTCACTGGTATCGCTGGAGGCAGATCTTGCCAGGGCAGGCCTGGGGCTCTCTGAAGCTGCCTCTACCGGGCCTTCATGGCTGCTCTCCTGGCACAGAGAGGAAAAAGAATGGGTGGGCAGGAGATGAGGAAGGAAACTCCTGGTGAGAAGCTGGAGGCCTCATTAGAGCAGGGTCTTTGCTCAGGCTGGGCCATCCATCCAAATCCCAGATTTATATTACTACATTCCTAAAAGGATTGGGGCAGCCTGGTTCCATCCATCACCTGAGCAGGGGGCAGGGACTGCGGAATCTCTCATCCTCCCCAACACTTTTGAGTACTGACTCACTCTTTGAATCAGCAACCCAAGAGGGGCTTCTGGGAACACAGGACCACCAAGGTCCTCCTGTTCGGCATGAGGAACACATATGGTCCCTTAACCTCTGGTAGCCTTCTCCGGGCCTTAACCCCAAAGTAGCCAACCAGGTCTTTAGGAATAAGATAACAGAACATTATAGAACCATCAGAAGGTGGGGATCATGTCTGATTCTTGCCCCCATTAGGTCTCTGTAGAGGAAGCCTTCAAACAGATCTTGCCAACTCCAGGCTCTGTGGTCTGATTCTGAGACAGCCCATGCCAGAGTAGAGGTTTTGGCGGGGTGTGAGCCTGGCACGCAGCCCCTTCCTGGGTCCTTCCATGGCCTCGGCTGGCTCCCAGCCTCACCCCCCTCCCTTCTGCCCGAGGAGGAGGGACTTTGTTCTTCCAGCTCAGACTGGAAGTAGCAGGACCAGCATCCAGACACTGAGGCTCTGTTCTTGGGGGGAAGAATGGCCTCTTCTGTATGGTGGGAGTTAGAGGCGGGGGCTACAGAGGGGCCCAGGCAAGCCTTTCCCGAGTGGCAGCCTCACCCCTGACAGGAGGTGGGATACTCTGGTGGTCCTATGGCTTAGCACTCAGGAAGACACTGGAACTGGGCCCTGATGTGTCAGCCCGAGCCAGACTTCCAGCCATGCCACCACTTGCCCTGTCCCCACAGAGGAGCGGGTAGGGGACCCCTTACCTTCTGTATCTCTCCGTTGGTGAAGGGCTCAGGCAAGGGTCCTAGGTGAGGGAGACAGCAAAGGTTAGCCCAGAACCTCTAGGGGAGGAAGCAGAGGATGCAGAGCCATGCCTTGGCAGCTCACCAGACCCCATACTGCAGGGCAAAGGCTGCAACCCACTGTATGTACTTTTGACATTTTGATGACCCAGTGCCTAGAAAAATTGTTTGACAATTTCAGAAAACAAGACCCCACTACAGTGTGGTACTTTGGTATTTTCAATAAAATGTATTTTCATAATGTCTCATTTGGCAAACTGGGGGGACTTTTGGGGGGGTGCAGGGGAGGGTCATGCTGGAGTGCTGCTTGATACTGACTGTCCTGTGATGTCCTTTAACGAGTCCTTCATGCAGTGCTGGGCAAACACAGCCTCCATCCACTACCGGTGCTCTCTACCACTGAGCTACCTTTCTGACCCAGGTCAAGATGCCAGGCTTGCTGGAGAGTTAAGATGGTCTTCATGGAGTTCAAGGGTAGCCAATCAAAAACAGGTCCCCTATGGCCAGAGAGATGGCTCAGTGATGGCCTGGTGATCTGAGCCGGATCTCCAAGAACCAGATAGTCAGAGAGAGCTGACTCTCCTGGGCTGTCCTCTAGCCTCCACATCCACACATCCCAGGTCTGACAGGTTTATGGCCACACCTCAGATTATATAGCCGGACCTGCTGCCTTGGAGGGAGAACAATGCCAAGCATCTGTCACCTGGAGGTGAGGGGACAAGAAGGTTCAAGGACAGTGCCCTGGGCAGGGTCAGGAAAGGCCAGCAGGAGAGAAACCCAGGCCTGAGGTCACCTCCCATATGGCCTGTGAAGTAGGAAGGCTGTTCCACCTCCATGAAGCAGTCAGGATGGGTGGGGTGTCCCTGTATATTAGTTATGATGCATGTGTGCCTTTGCCCCTGACAGGACTGCTCACTGTGTCGCTCCTCTTGGAGATCTGAGTTATGTGGACCCTGGCCTTCTATTGTAGTCCTGATGCTCAGGGGGCCCCACCCACTGCAAAGTCCAGGGAGGTTTACTTTTCAGCACAGGATACCAGATCACCCTTCTGGAGCCATCTTCCCAGGGAGAAAATCCGGACTAAGGGGGGTGTGTGTGGGGGGGTACTCAGCCCCTCCTGCCTGGTGTGGTGGC